ACTTGGGAAAGATGAGGCAGCTTTGTAAGAAATAAATGAAGCAAAGTCTGTAAATTTTCAGTGGCCTCTGCTCCCCCCAAATCCAATCCAATCGGAACATTCTTTTTAGCCCAGAAGTTGTGGATTGTACAGTTCATTCAAAAATAGTGTTAACATTTTATCAGCATATATCAGGGTCATGGAAATGGAGAATAACAATAGGTTTACTCTGAAAGGGGTTGCGATGGCTCAGCGGTTAGCCCAGATTTGAGCACTGCATAATAGGGTGAGTTCCTGTTACTTGCCCCAGCTTCTGCCCACCTAGCATTTCTCTTTTTTTTAAATAAATTTTATTGATTTTACAATTAAAACAAAACAACAACACATACATAAATGAAAAAAAAGAAAAAGAAGAAAGGGAAAAGAAAATAGAAAGAAAAAATAGAAAACAATTAAAAACATTCTCATCTTCAACAGTTTGTAAGACGTCTTTTTTATCCTTATTTTATGCCATATACACACACCTAATCCTTACATATATCTGTGTATCACTACTATGGATTTATCCTATCCTCTTTTGCCTTTTAGTGTGAAGTCTATCCATTTGTACCAGCAGTTCCAGCTGTTGTAGTATATTGAAGTGTCTTTATTTTTTAATGCCAAAGTTAATTTGTCCATTTCTGCACAACTTGAAATTTTTTGAATGATCATCTCCTCTGATGGAACATGAGGCTGCTTCCAACATTGTGCAAAAGCCAATCTGGCCACTGTCAAAATGTGTATTATTATATATTTCACTTTTTTTGATATTTGTTTATCAAAGATCCCTAACAGAAAGGACTCTGGTTTGAATTCGATCTGTTCTCTTGTCATTTCTTCCAGCCAATTTCTAATTTTCTGCCAATATTTTTGAGCTTCTGTACAGGACCACCACATATGGAAAAAAGTTCCCTCTTTTTTTTTTGCATTTCCAGCAATTAGGAGTCATATTGGGGTGCATCTTCTCTAATCTCAAAGGAGGAAGGTGCCATCTATAAAACATTTTATAGGCGTTTTCTTTGTATGCTACCAATTTTGTAATTTTATTATTTCTACCCCAGACCTTTTCCCATTCTGTTATGGTGATGCTACATCCTATATTCCTACTCCGGGCTATCATGTTCCCTTTTACAATTTCTTCTTCTAATTCTACTTCTAATAAATAATTATAAAATTTTGTTATATATTTTTTGCCTGATCCTAATAAAATTTTATCTAATTGCTGGAGTTTATTGTTAATTCCAAATTATTTCTTGTCCTGTTTATATCTACTTTGAATTTGAAGATATGCCCACTGATCAATTTTTAGTCCCCGCTCTTGAAGTTCTTGCCACGATTTCAAATTTCCTTGTGTATCCAATAGGTCCTTATATTTAATCATTTTAGTGATATCCAGATTATTTGGGTGAATCATCGCCTCCATTGTTGAAATCCAAATTGGTATTTTTAAATAGTGTTTTTTCCGTATTTTCTTCCAATTAGTTAATAATGAGTCTCTGATTAGGTGTCTGTGAAAATATTTCTGGCTAGTTTTCCCTAGAAAAAGTATGCCACCCCCTTTGCAAGTTATGGCCTTCTAAGAATAATATTCTCTTATTGGTTAAATTCACCCATTCCTTCAACCATACTAAAGAGGCTGCACTATAATACAACTCCCAATTTGGAAGTGCCAGCCCTCCCTTGCTCTTCATATCCTGCACTGCCTTTAAATTTATTCTAGTTTTTTTCCCTTGCCAGATAAATTTTACAGTTATTTTATTACGTTCTTCAAAAAAAAATTGTGTACTTTGGGCAGTTCCGGTTTGAGCTTCTTCAGCGACAGACTGAAACCTCGTCTCTGCGAGGCTTCGATCTGTGCTCGCCGCTGGAGTGCCCCGAGCCGGCTGGTTTCGGGGCTAAGCCACCCCGTAGAGGTGGTGAAGAGGGGGGAGACTGCCAGCAGGGTTGAGGAGAGCCGCATCTCTCCTCCCCAGCTGGCCATTACTCCCTTTCCCGAAGGCGGTTGCAGCGGTGGTCAGAAATGGCCACCACAAAGAAGAACTCGACTGGAAAAGAATGTGCAGGAGGAAGATAAGAAGAGAAAGTTTTGGTTGACCGGGTCAAACAGCAAAAGCAACAAATAAGGTACCCTGGAATTGAAACTGTTAAAAAACAATAACATTTTTCCCTAAGAAGATTTTTAAGCTGTGAAGGAGAGAGAAAAGGGAAAAGATTTGGTTTTCTCCTTTTCCTATACTGACAGCTAAGAGACTTAAGCAAGAAATTGGAAAAAAAATCCACTTTGACATCAATAGGCATTTAATGCTGAAAATAAAAAGTCAAAGGGATAATAAAGATTTCTGGATAATTAAAAGCTTTTAAAAACAGGAAAGGAGAGAAAAAGAATAAAAGGGTAGGATCTGGAAGGGAGGAGACTGCCTGGAATTAAAAAAGAACTTACAGCAAAATCTCAACAAGACTTCCAAAAGATACATTCTAACTGAAATATCGCAACAAAAACCCCAGGAAGAGAAAGTCAAAAAAGAAATAAGAAGATATAACTCGGGACTATCTGGATTACTTGATGGTTTCTGGATTCTTGGTTATTGTTTTGAATGACTAAAATCAATCAGGTGGTTGTTTAAAACTGTTTAAAATGGCTCCACTTTTAGAAAAACTGAAAATGGAACTTAAAATGTACAAAGAAGATGCACAAGAAGGGAGAGGTTCTTTTGGCTTCGTATTTCAGTTTTTAGAAATGGAGATTTGGAATTATGAGAAACAACAAGAAATGCCTGCAGAACAAGAAGATTGCGACAAAGAAGAAGTAATCTTTAATGAACGAGTAATCTTAGATGGGGAGGGGGAGGAAAGGGGGAAAGAGAATGGAAAGTTTAAGATTGGGAAAAACAACTCAAAAAAAATAGAGTGAAAAATAAGTATAAAATCAGAAAGCAACAGAAGAGGGAAATGCAGAAGAGAGAATTAGAACTAGAGAGACAAGGGGGTAAAAAGGGGAGGGAGAAGATGAGAGGGAAGAAAGAAAGGAAAAGAAGTTATAAAGGACAGAAGCAAAATATAGAGAAACAGGGCCTATTTAGAGATAAACTTAATGGAAAAAGGGATTCTGCAAAGGTACATAAGATAGTATGGTTATATTAGAAGCAGAAATAATTTTAGAAAATATGAAACTGTATGATTAAAATGTCTGATAAAATAGCTATCGTAATTCAGTGGAATGCTTGTCAGTAAATAAATGTAGCAAAAGGTATATTTAATGATTTATAAAACATGTGAAGAGAAATAAGGGAAAAATTAATTATGGAGATTATATGTGTTTTTAAGGAAGTATGATATTTAATTGAAAAGAAGTGTTAAAGATGTTATGGTTTTAATGATTATTAATGATAGAACTGAACTGGAATGGAATGAGGGTTTATAATTACATATATTTACAATCTTTCTTTTTTTTTGAGGAATATAGTGTGTATTATAAGAATGTGCCAAGCAGAATTCGATTGGAAGTTATGTATTATGTATTATATTGAAGGTCATAAACTTAAGGTATATATTGAAGTTTAAATAAGAGTTGAATGGATGTAATTAAAAGATATAAAGGTGTCATACTCCAATTAGTAACTACAGGAGAAAATTTGTTTAATGAGAAAAGATAATATGAAATTGAAACAGAACAGACAAAAGTATAAATATAATGATTTGAATTGAAGATGAGATAATCAAAATAAAATTGAGAAAATTAAAAGAGGGGAAAAACTATATAGAAAATGTAAAGTAGTATAAGATATGGAATAGAATACAAAAAGGAGCATGAAATTGAGTTTTGTGTCTGTATAAAGAAGTTCAATCCGGGACCATGCTATTTTCAAAAAAGATGTTTTACTTGTATTTTGTGTGTGAAAACCCAAATAAAACTTCATTTTAAAAAAAATGTGTACTTTGATTGGGATCGTCTGAAATATATGTAGGAATTTTGGAAGAATATTCATTTTAATAGCAGCAATCCTGCCTAATAATGAAAGTTGCAGCTTGCCCCATGTTTCTAAATCCTTCTTTACCTGTTGCATCAATTTGTGATAATTATTTTCCTTAAGTGTCTTACAATGTGCTGTCAACCATATTCCTAAGTATTTAACTTTCTTTATCACTTGTATTCCCATAACTTCTTCTAGTTCTATTTTCTGTTTTTCTGTTAAATTTTTAGTCATTAATTTTGTTTTCTTCCTATTAATTTTAAGTCCTGCTACTGCTTCAAATTGTTCTAATTCATTCATCAATTTTTGTCCTCTATCTATTGGTTCCTCAATGAAAAAAATCATATCATCCGCAAACGCTTGCAACTTATATTCTTCTTTCTTAACCTTTAATCCTTTTATGTCTGGGTTCTGTCTAATTCGCATTAGTAATGCTTCTAATGATAATATGAAGAGCAGGGGTGAGAGTGACTGCCCACCCAGCATTTCAAAAGCATGCAAATGTGAGTAGATAAATAGGTACCATTTTATTTGGCAGGTAACAGTATAGCCATGCTGGCCATATGACCACAGAAAATGTCTTTGGACAACACTGGCTCCCTTGGCCAAGTTGAGCACCATGCGCTAGAGACAGACACGACTGGACAGGGAAACTTTTACCTTTATTCTGAAAGGGCTAGGAAAGGGCTGCTTGTCCTTTGAGTTTTTTCCCCATCTTACATCTTAAATCACTTTTTCATTCTGTCACTTACGAGAGTAACATGGAAAACAGGTCAGAGGCATGAAGTACATTTGGCTTTGTGCATTGAAGTTATTGCCTGGAACCTGCATAATTTGTGTACAGCTAACCTATAATTAGGAACCAAGACCAAGAACATATCCTGCCCCTTTTGAAATTGGCAGTTTTGTTCCTTGAAACAAGTTGTGCCAGTACACAACGTTCACAGAGTTTGGCTTCCGAATATGTGTATCTACTACAACATTTAAGTGTTTTTGTTTTAAATCTTGCAGATATTTGATAATGAAGCCAAAGATCTTGACCGAGAAGTCTGCTTCATTGATATTGCCTGTGATGAAATTCCTGAGCGCTATTACAAAGAATCCGAGGTAAATAAAAGACACAATGCTTTTGACTGATATTGTGCAAGTTACTCATGGAAATACTCAAGCTCCCTTGGGGTGAATGTTCCCATTCTGGAGTAGTTCAGCTGTTGTTGTTTTTTTAAATCATGCTATTAGCTAGAACCAAGAAATATTCCTACATATCATATGCAGATGTGTGATAATTTGGATTGTACATTTGTGCTGCATTTAAAGCATGCGAGAAAGACTCTGTTAGGGCAGACCAAAGGCCTCTCTAACTTCCTGGGACATCAAAGGCTAACTACTATGTCTGGAAAGCACAAAGGCATACCATACATACCATACCACCGGCTGCCTGGAGTAGGTAGTAAGTTGAATGTTGTTCCTGCAATAGTAATATATACCGTAATTTTTTTGCTCACGATTCCCCAACTGCTTCCTTTTCATCTATTTGCCTTCATTCCATCTACCTGCACTTTTTAAAATAGGTACTCTAGGGTTTGACCTCTTATTTTCTCTATTAAACAAACCTCTTTAGAGTTTCACTCTCATTGGCTTTTACACATTACTCTATAGGTAATACGATCAATCGCTTAGCGAACATTCAGTGTTAAAATGGACTCCTGTCCTCCCAAAAGGTACTTAGGAGTTGATTTCAAAGTTGCAAGGCCACAAACACAAGCATATGGACACACAGTCACATGATTGCATTTTAAATAGTTGGCAACCAGTTCACTTTTACGGCCACTTGTACATCCCAGTCACATGACCATGATTTTTTTTACTTTTTTGCCAATTTCTAGCATTTACTTCCCGTTTCCAGTTAAAAAAACACCCATTGGGGTAAAATTAATTTGCTTAACGACTGTGGTGTTTGTTTAATAATGTTATTAAAAATATTGCAAAATTAGGGCCAGTCACACAATGACCCTCTTAATGACCGCAATGACTTATGGGCTCAATTATGGGCTCAATTATGGTCCTAAATCAAGGACTACCTATGCTGTTTAGATGATGTAGTAATTTAAGAAAGATTTTTCATGATTAGGCATAGCATTTCTCTCCTTTATATCTCAGATGCTGTTTCCTGTATGTATGTATATTTTAAAAGCAACTCATTAGTGGTATCTAAACTTCATTTATTTATCTCTCTAATTTATACAGCCACTTATCCCATCAAAAGTGACTCTGGAATGGCATACAACAAAGTTAAAACTGAATTAATACATAAAACCACTTATCATTATTAATTACAAAAGCATTTTAAAACTTTAAAAAAAGAGAACAAAACATAGAAATAACAGCAAAGGGAAGTTAATAATAACACAGCCACCTCACAAATTCACCATCCCCTGGCTGGGGCTTGCAGGTCTTAAGAATGCTTGGAAACTCAGGAGTGATGAGACCAACCTCACTTTGGGGAAGGGCGGAGGGACACCCAACCCAGAATGAAGGAGAAATTTCCTAAACAGTGAGAACAATCCATCAGTGGCATGGCTTGTCTCCAGTAGTTGTTGGTGCTAGATAAATGGAGGTTTTTCAGAAGAGATTGGGCAGCCTTTTGTCCAAAATGGTATATGGGATCACCTGCTTGAGCAGGGGTTGAACAGAAGACCTCCAAGAATCCCTTCCAACTCTGCACAGCAGAGACCCAAAGACCAGCTGGCCAGTGGGAGGCGCATGCACGAAGGAGCTGAGCTAGGCCAATGGCTTGCATGCCCAGAGAGAGGGCTCTGCATGCCACCTCTGGCATGCGTGCCATAGGTTCGCCATCACGGCCTTAGGGGGACTCAAAAATCACATCTTTAAAAAAGATGTATCTATTGGAATTTGACTTCTCGCTCAAGGTCAGTATTCCTATGGTTAGAACTTCTTTTAAAATATGCTATAACGCCCTCTTATGAGTCTTCTGATATTTTTCATTCTACTCTATAAATATAGATAGATGCCAAGTGTGTTGTGGGACAGCATGCTGTGTTCCTGGCTGGCAAAGGAGATGACCCCCTTTCCAAACTATAGGACCCATTCACTTGCTGGCTGTCTCACATGCAACTTCTATTTAAATGTCTTAAAGGCTTGATATAAGAACCAGAGCTAAGCGGGTTAGCTCTCTTACAAGAAAGGATGCATTACAGGTAATTCTCACTTAACAATGGCAACTCAGACCAGAATTCCCGTTAGTAAGTGATGCAGTCATAATGTACAATGTTATATGACTACATCGCTTAGCCACGGCAGTCCAGGCAGTCCCCAAGGCATAATAAATTGTTAAGCGCGGACCTCCTTGCAACTTCCTGCCAGCTTCCAACAGGCAAAACCAGTGGAGAAGCTGCAGCTGAGTCCTGCGAAGTAGCTAGTAGTGGGCAGCTAAATGCCTGCTGTAACATATGCATGGTGGGGTCGGAGGTAGCTGCTGCCAGTTGCATGAAGGGGCATTGGTAGCCATTGCGGCACCGTGCCATTGTGGCCAGGCATGTATGAACTGTAAAGTGTGGGCTAGGAGATGCTATGGCTGTGCACCATGGAGCTATTCTGTAGTTGGGAATCCCTGGCAGAAAAAGCAGTGAAAGTGGAAACAACTTAAAAGAGCAACTTGCAAATCTTCTCTGTCAGTTTCCCCATTGACTTTGCTTCTAGGAAGCCAGCAGAGAAAGTTACCAACAGCAATCGTAAGACTGCAGGAAACTGCAACCATCGTAAGTGTGAGCCACTTGCCAAGACTCCAGGTTGTGATTATGTGAGTGGTGTGTGTGTGTGTGTGTCTGGGACAGCCAGAACTTTGAGGACTATTGTTCAGTGCCTTCATAACTTCAAATGGTTGTTGAACAAGTCGTTAACCAAGGATTACCTGCACAGCAGTAGGAACACAGTCAGTCCCTTTACTATTAAAACAGCTTTATGGCTCTCTCCTGGTAGAAAAAAAAACCACATCTGAGTTCTCTACTGCCTCTTGAACACAGAGGAAGGAGAGAAGGCATTCTGGAGATAGGTCATCAAATTTTTGCTGAACTCATAGTTGCTGAAAATAGCCAGAAATAGTCAAATAGTCTTTCCTTCCTTCCTTCCTTCCTTCCTTCCTTCCTTCCTTCCTTCCTTC